AACGCGGGACAATCTCGGAACGCCAGGTCGGATGTCCCGTCCCCTAATGAGAGAGAGGGAGAGAGAGAGAGAGGGAGAGCGCTTTGGCTGGCGCAGCCAAAAAGAAGGGCCCCTCGTTAAATTGCGCAGAGAGAAGAAGAAAGGGAAGAAAAAGGTCTCTCTCTCTCCTCCCGAACCCACACTTTCTCTCTCTATTCGGCTCCTTCGCTTTCCTCTGGCCACGGCGGTCCCAAATTGAACGCGGGGGTAGGGTTCGATTGCCCTGAATTTCGGTTTCTTGCTTCCCCGTCCTCGTTTCGTATCGTGTTGTTCTGGGGGTGTCGATTTTTCCTGGGTCGCGTCGTGGGTGGTTGTTCTTTTCTTGCGAATGATCGTTTTCGTGTGCCCCTTCGCCTTTGAACGAGCAGAGGGGCTTGCCCGTGATGCGATTCTGAGCTCCGAGATCGGGCTCGAGGGGATTCATTTCTGAGGGCTCTGTTCATTTGCCCCCGACGAGCAGGTCCCTCCCTTTTTTCAATTTGTTGTCGATTGTTCTTTTGAGTTTCGGGTGTGTGCTCCTTCGTGTATTGTGCCTTTTCACGCGTAAAGCTCGTTCCTTTAAACGGAAGGAAAGAAGGAAATCTGTGATCATGCCGGAGGGATCATCGTATCGTATCGTATCGTATCGGGTGTTTTTTATATTTTTCATTTGCTCTTTGGATGAGTATTGGGGAAAGGGCATTGCAAAGTTGCAAACTTTAGAGCACATAGAGATAGGAAAAACGAAAGTTGATTAATGGGTTTAGCAAACGAGGGCGGACCGAAGATTGTGGAGCTGATGAGATTGACTTTGTTGATCAGTCGGAACTGGTTATTTCATGTGTTTGTCTGTGGTGGAATTTGAGTTATAGTTGAGATAGTTTTCAGCTCAAAAATGATTGGGAGGTCTTTGTGTGGACGTGCGCCATGGAGAGATTGCAGATGATTATCAAAAGATGTCTTTTTCAGTTCAGCAGACGTTACCGAACTCTATCTCCTTTGGCGTATTAGCTCGTCTACTGAATGATTTTCTCTGTGTTAGTTTACTAATTGTTTCAGTGATCTGCTAATATGTTGGGAGAGATTTGGGGTTTCAAATTTGTTTGTTCGTGTATGTTAAGGCGGTGTTCTGAGCTGTTGACTGATTTGAATCTCCACCTTGTCTGTTTTTTCTTTTTTCTTTTCTAAAAGTCATTGGTGTTCTTGCTCTGATCTGTACCTCATCTTAGAGTGGTTTTACTTTCTTTTTTGTCTTTGTTCTTTTCTTTTTGGATAATTTCGTCTTTGGTTTTCTCTACTCGGACATTCCTGATGAACTAGGACACATGTTTCTTTTGATCAATTTTGTTTGTTATTATCATGTCATGTAATTTCTTTTGATGAATGACCTTGGATAGTATCTTGTGACATTTGGTTCATATACAGATACCACAAGCTTCGACAAATGATCATGCAAATGATATTTGGTGTTCGAATTGTACATTTGATGTTAAGGTCTTTAAACGCAATTTAAACTAGAAAGTTTTTTGAGTGTGAAACTCTATCACATTCATGGAGACTCGAACACCTCCACCCGAATTGCATAAGTAATTGTAAGTGTGCATACACGTGTGCACTCATGATTCTGTGCTCTGCTTTCCCTTGATAGAAGTTCCTATAATCTTTTTGCCCAGATAGTCACTTCTGAGCGGCGGTGTTTATCTTAGAAACTGATATATTACTGTGATTGAAATGTGCTGACAATGAAAACCAATATTCTATGCTTTTCCATTACCCTTTTCTTTGTTAGTTTTTGCTTTAGAGAGGGAGTTGTAAAGGTTGGCATATTTCTTTCCCTTCCAACGGGATTTTCTTTTATCTATTCCTGGTTCTTGTTAGGAATTTGGTAACGACGTATTTGACACTAATCATCTATCATAAAAGCATTTTATTAAAAGCATTTATGGCATTATGCAATTAGAGTATTTTATCTTAAGATAGTTCTGAACCAAGAATCACAGCATTTGCTTTCGACTTTCAACGTTTTACATATTGTTGCATTGGCTGCTTAAACAAAGTTTAAGAGTCAGAGTAGACACTTTTTGAGCATAAATCGTATGGTAGCATTTTGGCTGGTCATCCAACAACTGGATTGAAGTTGTGACATTGTGGGTTGTATGCGACATGGTTTTTGTCTGGTGTCTTGTTTATGGGTTGAGATCGAATGGGTCAAATGGTTGTCAATATGTTTTGTGAATGGTTGGTTAATCTTCACTGCTTGATGTAGATTACATGTCATGGGTTTCACTGTGCATACTTCTGCATGTTTGGCACATATGCTTCCAGTTGGCTATATCAAACTTACGTAGGTTAACTGCAGGAGGATTGAGAAAATGGAACACGACGAGACAGGATGCCAAGCTCACCCCGAGGGTCCAATTCTATGCATCAACAACTGCGGCTTCTTTGGAAGTCCAGCTACCATGAACATGTGTTCCAAATGTCACAAGGACATGTTGCTGAAACAAGAGCAGGCCAAGCTCGCCGCGTCATCTATTGCAAACGCCGAGAATGGATCATCAAGCACTACTGCAAATGAACCTGTTGCTGCTGCCTCAGTGGACACACAGCTCAATACAGTGGAGCCGAAGACCATCTCCGAACAGCCCGCCTGTGATTCAGTGCCAGTGGTGACCGTCGAGAAGCCGAAGGAGGGCCCGACCCGCTGCAGCTCGTGCAAGAAGCGGGTTGGTTTGACTGGCTTTAGTTGCCGGTGTGGTAATATCTTCTGTGGCACCCACCGCTACTCTGACAAGCATGACTGCCCGTTTGATTATCGCAGTGCTGCCCGTAATGCAATTGCAAAGGCCAACCCTGTTATTAAGGCTGAGAAGCTTGATAAAATATAAGATGTGCGTAGGGAAGAAGAAGATTTAATGTGCTGAAAACCGATGCTTTGTTTCGACTCCATGAGTGATGTTCTTGGATCAGCTGCGTTATGTATCAGCTGTCTGCTTGGTTTGTTATATTTGCAGAGGGATGACGATGGTGGTATTAGGACATCTCCGCAGTAATGAAGAACTCTAAGATCCCAATCTTCTCTTGAGATGGCTCGAACGTGCCTTTAGCTCTCTGAGAATGTGGTGGTTTGATGGACAATGTTGCGGTTGGCTCTGTAATCTGTCTCTGCTTTTAAGATGTTCCGTTTTCTCTCTTGTACTGCACGGTCGAAATGGTAATGTGCAATCTCTCGTTCCCAAGGAAAGACATCCTTCGAATATCAGTATGTTTAGCTTTGTATATTGTGGCTATGCTTCTAAAGGTTTTTTACTTGTGTGTAAGGCATCTTTGGTGTCTTGTGGTCGTTGTTGCCTCTTGAGTTGCAGCGCTGAGCTCCTACTTCGTCGGAGCAGATTGGAATTGTTCATGTGACGGTGAAGTCGAGGTGATGGTGGTTGTGCTGGCGTGTTGTGGTGATTGAGGGGAGAGAGTGAGCGTTGACGGATAGATCAAGAGGGTCGGAGAGAGATTGAAAGCTCGAGAGGAGAATGATTGGAGTGGGATAGTGAGTGAGAGGCGAGGAGAAAAAAGACGAGAGGTTAGGATGTTTTTCAAGTACTAATGTAATGTTCTGGTTCAATCTCGGACCGGTTCGGCGTCATTTCTCCCTGTTGTAGGTGCCTGCTCTGAAAGCTTTTTCTATTCAAACTTCAGAACTTTTGTTATAAGCATCATTTATTATTTCAGTATAAGTAATACCCTGGAAGCTACACGAGTGCTCCTCAGAGTATCCATCATCTGTCGCTCGTGTCGCCTCCATTATCATAACACGGATGACAATGTACCATCTCTATGGCCACCTCTGGCAACGACACGCCATCTTGAAAATCAACTCGTCCATCACCTACTCTCGTCGACGACGCAAAAAGAATAGTCAAGCGAAGAGTCTCTCTCTCTCTGTCTCTCTCAAGTGCGCCCCTAGCTCTTCTCCTCCCTCCTCCTCCATTATCATCATTGACGACATACCATCTTAATGGTCACCTCGTCAATCACCTTCTCCATTCGTCTCACAACAAATCTTGGTCGAACAGCAGCTCCTCTCTCCCCCAACACTTCCATTACCGTGGACGATGAGCACCTAGCTTACCATCTCGAAAGATAACTCTCGAGTCACCTACTCCTTTCGATGCTGCCATGGCTAAGTTCAGTTGGACAGCACCACGCTCTCTCTCTCTCTCTCTCTCTCTAACCGTAAACCAGTGTCCATTATCATAAAAAGTGAACCAATTTACCGTCTCGACGCCCAACTCGTCAATCACCTGCTTTCTCTGGCGATGCAACGACAAAGATCAATCAAAGACTCTCTCTCTCTCTCTCTCTCTCTCTCTCTCTCTCTCACCATTACAGGCTTGTGTCTCCTACTCCACCCTATCACGGATGGTGAGCAAGCATGCTAGTTAACCATCTCAACGGCCAACTCGTCAATCAATTCATCGCTTCAACAACGCACCGCAAAGGTCAATTAAAGAGCATAGGGAGGGACGACCTACACTGCCACCGTCTGGGATTTGCATAATCCCCACATCCACCGCAAATGTTTGCGTTTAAATCATAAGTACTTGGTCCACCTGTAAGTGTACGACCCCATCACCATTGCCTGGTTGGTGTGCCAGAAGTTAGCAAGTATCTTCACATAAAATAGCAAATGCCTAAAGCACTAGCCGGCCAGAGGTTCACTCATGCCATGCTCAAACTTGTACCTTCATGAAAGACAATATACCCCCTTTACCACTAGGCTATCACGCTCGACAGCATTGTAAACAAAGCAATTGCTAATAAGAAAACTGGTACTGCTTGAAAGGTGATATCAAGGCATACCGGCAATCGAAGTACAGAGAGCTCAGTCGGACTGCATGCGTGGCACATTTTTTCGTACTCTGTATGATTGCTTTTAATGAAGCAAATCCTATAGCAACCTCATCCTCAAAACTTTTACTGAAGAATTCCATGAAAAGCGCAAAAATGCATTTGAACAGGTCAGAGAATAAGCAACTTTCGGCACAAAAAGAGAGGTGGATGAACCATCTTACAAACCGTAAGGATCATCAACAGAAGCGCTTTAGGGCAACAGAAACCAGCAAGGCACTTCAACAGCAGATGAAACACAGAAGACAACACAATCAGATGTTCTCATACTACAACGGAGAAAATTTGCAAAAGGATTAACCTTTCGGATTAAACTGTTCTGAAGCCAAAACCCTAAAGTTCCCTGTTATTTCCTAATGTCTACACTAAAACGGCCTGTATGCCGCTCACAGCTACCAGTAGAAACCATTTAGCAATCAGGAAAGTTAGAAAGTTATTCCTCTAGATTCAGACTCAAGGTACTTGCAGATCCTTTCCATGACTTCTCTACCTTTGATGCTGTTCTGCAAGAACCGGTCGGCACAACGTTGCTCCACCTTCTCGGCCATTGACGCGAGTGCCGATAGCGGCTTGATCCTAATGCTGGTCTCCTGCTTGCACACTGTCCACCCACTGGGATTATCTGGGTGGGGGTCGTACCGAATCCTTTCCTCCACCTCTATGAACTTTTGCAGACTGATGTTGCGAGTGGTCAGTTGCATCGACCGAGATTGACCATCAACGACTGTTGATTCAACACAATGGCATATGTCCTGACCCACGATCTTGCGGACAAACCAGGGCCCAGGAGCATGGATCGTGATGGCACGAGTTGTGAAGAGCTTCCCTGATTCGGCGTCTAGCTTGTGGTTCAAGGTGTCGACATCAAGAACGTGAGACAAAGTGCGCTTGTTCTCAGGGTCAGCAAACTTGCGCCAAGATGCAGACGTTACAATCTCCCAAGGGTGCTTGTACACATGCTCTTGTGCGTAGGCTTTCACCATCTCTTCTTTTGTAGCACTTCACGTAACAAATAATACAAGTTAGTCACTTAAAAGGAATAGTAAAACCATCTGCTTTCACCAGACGGAACACGTCTCGACTCTCGAGATGTGCGATAATAATGGTACCGAATCAAATGCACGGCCTAACAGATAAAGCAACCAGCTTGCACAAAAAGTGAAGCAACTGCAATTCTCAAGTATGCATACGAGCATCGGCACACATCATCTCCACAGAAATCTCAATTATCCCAAACTGCAATAGAGGATTCCTGCCTGCTTCGTAGGAAATGGACTAAACCCATCAAAATCTAATGCCTGTTCATATCGAGGCAGCGCAAGTATTCAGGATCCCAACAAAAAAAAAAAAAAACAAGAAAACATCGTGTTCTTCCGAGGAAAACTAATGGATCCTAGTCTAAGGTTTTTCGCGAAACCAGCCTACGCCAAGCAAACCACCAGACCCTCCAAATTTCAGCAGCTTGGTATGGAAAAAAGCACCGAAATTCTAACAGCAAAAAGACACCGTTAAGAGTCCATAAAAGAGCAAGCTAAACATCTTTATACACAAATTGGTTTGCAAAAACCCCACAATAGAGAAGATTGTACCACCCTAATCATACCCAAGAATCCAAAATTCGTGACGAAAACAGTAATCAACTAATCATCCTCTCAATATCCGAAACGCAGCTAAGAATCGCCACCCAACCCTCCAAAACCAACCATCCCCAGCTCAAATCAAGATGGGTCTCATCAAGAACCCGGGGGGGTGGTGGTGAGGATCAGCTCCCCCCTCCCAGCTCGCCATCTCGACCCGCGAGACCGATTCACGGGCGCGTCGCCGAAAGCATCAGGCGCCCCCCCAAGAAGCGCAGACCCACGAGCTCGAAAGTCCGAAAGAATTCAAAGGAAAACCAAGATAAGAATCGAGACGCACCTGGCGAAGCAAGAGACGCGAGACGAGGGAGCGGAATTGAAGAAGATGGAAATGGATTTTCTTGATGAAGGGGAAGAAGGTGAGGGAGAGAGAGAGAGAGAGAGAGAGAATGTGGAAATGGTGGCAAAATACAATGGGCAAACGAGCGGTGATTCGGCGCAGTACGCACGCACTAAAATTTCGTTCTTTTTTTTTTATTTTCTTTTCCCTTCTTATTTTTAGTCAAAGTTAAATATCGTTATATATAACCATTTCAAAATTTATATCCCGAATCGAATTTCACGCCGTCGCCGACTAACTAATTTTTCCTAATCGAATTGGAAGGATTCGCGAGAAATTAAGGGCTCCGTTTGTTTCGAGATAAATAGATAAAATAATCGCTTATATCGCTTAAAATAATAATTTATATTTAAAAAATTTCATGAATGATGATCAATTTTTTTATTAATTCATTTTTATAAGCTATATACAAGAGATCGTTTTTAGAAAAAATATTTTCTCGCTTATAAATTTTTCACGAAATAAATGAAGCATGGATTCGAGTTCGAGCACTTGTAAAATGAAGTTTCCAAGCCAAATTTAATGAGGTGATAAATAATTTACCCGATTCTTGGAAAAGATAAGTCCATGATTATTTGATTCGTGTATATACTAGTATGCGCCATTAATTTTGTGGATAATCATGATTCATTTAAACCCTAGCTCGAGTGGGTCAAAGTCAATGTCAATCTAGGGCCGGACAATGGTGGGCCGGAGCTCCATCAAAAGTGAACCATGGGCCGACGTGACGGACCGGCCCATGTGAATGTATGTTACACCTAGCCATTTCATTAGGTTAGGCCCACGGATTCTGTATACGACTGAAGTGATTAGGTGATGACTAGTGAAATGACGACTGGCATGCTCGGGAATTCACTTTGATTTTTTCTTTTCTTTTCATTTTCAAAGTTTAGTTGGAGTCTTTGGTAAATTTAAGGTAATTAACTATCAGAACTTGACTATAATGTCGTGTTAGAAATTCCCATTTCAAAGGTCAAGTTATTAAGTGGTTGAATGTTACTTATATGCGCTATATTTCAAACAAGGCAATTGACTATTAGAACTCGATTATGATTTTATGTTAGAAATATTTCATTTCAAAGGTCAAGTTATCAAGTGGTTGAAAGTCGTGCGCAGTAGATGAGATACTTTCGCGAATATAATTTGAAGGTCATTTGGGTGCACCTATTTTCATAGAGCGCAGATCAAATCGTTTTTGTCTAGAAAAGCACAGTCACTCGATGCTAACAACTTCCTTTCATAAAGAGAAAGGGTGGGAAGGAGCAACCCGAGTTGGCAACTCTTTTAAGCGTTATCATAGGAGTTCCACGCTTTATGGTAATAAGGCTGAGTCCAGAAGTAAGAAAATGCTTCTCATACTTACTCTCCTTAAGTATGCTTTAGCTGAAATTTTAAGTATCCGGTCAATCTAAAAGTTGCTTCGACTAGATTTCCGCCAGATTAAACTGTTTGACTTCCAACTCTTGAGTACTACTTAGGTTTGACTCGAATCCTTTTGTCTCCCATTATAAACGATTATATAATTAATATATCAAAGGTCATATGTTAATTAATATCCATAATACCATTCCCGTAAATTAAGATATCCTAGTCTTAATTAACTTGCGTAATCCATGCGATTAAAGAATTTGGGGACTGCACTTTTTTGTGCAATGGCGTGAGATGCATGTTGTCTTCCACCAATGTGGTTGAGGTTTCTGGGATGGTTAAATATGTTCCTCAACTGACGTGGAACCGTCGCCCACATCAAAAACAAATGCTGCACATGATCTTCGTCGATGTCGAGAACACCAACATAATAAATGGCTCGGTAATAATAACGCAGGAACCGCTCGATTGTATAATCTCCACTGCAAAATCAGTACATCATCCGACTCGTTATCGTGTTCGTGCGACATGCATAGGGCTAATCGAATGTGTTGCTTTGACTGTCGACTCGTGTATCTACGCGTTTCGAAGGATTAAGACATTAGGCAGCTGTAATACTTTGATGGTTGAACGTTTGGAACGAACCAGACAAGCACGTTAATGTAGAAGAACATGAAAAGTCCAACCTTTTCTTCTAGGGGCCTATGAAAGTCAAAATGTTCGGTTCTTTGTATTCGCTATCATTAATTAAGGAACTTGAAGCTTCACTCGGGAAACCACAGGTACTGCCACTTATAGAGAATCCCAAATATTTTTTTAAAAATGACTACAAATCAAGAATATTATATGGTAATCTCCTGTTGCAGAGACGTCCAGGAGAGTGATGAACATCTCATGTATGCAAGCTTGATGAAGTCAGCACAACCCTCATTTGTCTTTTCATGGTTAGCATCTGTTTAAAGTAAAGAAGCATCTATTCTAAAAAGCTTTGAGCTCTTACGTATGAGGCACATCAGCTGTTACATGTTAACGCTCTCTTTTACACGACTATTTAGTAGGATGCATCACGTTTTGGCTCTTTCGTTTTTTTTTTTTTTGTTGCCGAGACTTAAAGAATGATTGGGGCTTACCCATGACATACAAGGAAGGAGAAAAGAGATTATGAAATGGGGTATAGCCGCAATCCGGTAGCTAGCAACGTTGACATAACAGTCCAAGAACAAGTCTTTGGTCACCCACATACGCACTCAGTACAAGAAAGTTTGATCTCACAAGAACCATATTCTTTCTGGCCCTAACGCCCCCCCTCTGCCTCGTCTAATAGTGGCGACAGAGCTCAGGCCGGTGGACGGAGCGGGCAAGCTTAACCTTCCAAACTTGGAAGCAAATTAGCTGTTATGTAGAGATCGGTGACTAGATCGCAATAGTAACACCTAAATCTCGTCGGGGAGAGAGAGAGAGAGAGAGAGAGAGAGAGAGAGAGAGAGAGAGAGAGAGAGAGAGAGAGAGAGAGAGAGAGACCTCCTGGTCATGCAATTGTTGACAGCGTGGTGGCGGTAGTGGCTACTTTGTTGGTGCGACAACAACAGCTCTATACGATTAGGAGAGGAAGCATAAGGGAGGGAGAGAGAGTTACATAACAACTGAACTTCACCAGAAAATAATATTGACGAAAGATAAATGTGATAATCTAACTCAAGCCATCTAGTTTTGATATATTAAACTAGAGTAAATGAATGCAGCTATAAAAATCGAACCGTTAAAAAATGATATAAATCATTGATCGCAACGAGACCACCCACACCATGTTTTTAATTACATAGGCCATACACTGTCTAATGAGGAATTTGTACTACTCATTAACACAAAAAACTATAGGTCTTGCACATATAATTCGTGGGCAAAATTAAACACAAGAGAAAGCCAATCTGAGTTCTCTGTGAATTTTATCATTAGAATCTTTAGTCATAAGGGCGCTTAATCCAACCACTGGGGTTTGCCCTAGTGGCCACCCTTCCTACTTGAGAATGAGGAATCCCCACCTTCTCAGGGCAGTTAGGAGTGGGGACGTGTAGTATTAGATGTGGGTTTCGACTCCCACATCCTGCAAGAGGCAGGACAAAAGTCTAAGAGTGAGTTGAGAGTTAGAGTAGGACATACCAAAAAAAAAAAAAGGCACCTAACCCTAATCTCCAAGTCCCTTGTACGTAGTCAACTATGTACCTTGCGGGTTTAGATAGCGCAAACTGCTCATTAATTGCTTCCTATCCTCTTCTTCTAAAACTCAAGTTTTGACTTTCAAATCAATGTCTCATATCAATGAAGCTTTTATTCTAGCCAAGAAAAAAGAAAAAGATTCAAAAAAAAAAAAAAAAAAAAAGAAGATGAAGAAGAAAAAGAAAAACTCTCATGTTTTTATTAACATATCCTTTTACTTCTTTCCAAACTCGTCATCTTCTTGTGCTTAGCCCACCCAAGATCGATTGACCCTGAAGGGAAAACATCCACTTGTGTGTGTTAATTGTGACCAGTAAGAGCAGCATATATCCAGTATTATTTTATCCAACAAACGAATGAAGTTCCATCTTATTCTTACATTAATCCTCAGCACACGAAATTATTGTTATTTCCCGTTACA